GGAAAGAGGAAACAAATCAAAAATCTCCAAAGAAACAACGTTTAGCATTATCTTGGAGAAGTACCTGCAAAGTGGAACAATATCTTGTTCAATTTCACGAGTCCAAAGGGACCACTCCATTTGCAGAGCAGTAATGGGATGAACAGCATGTGCCCTCCTAATTGTGTCAGGGCTTGCTTCCGACAATCCTATGTACCTTATCTTTCCCTCTTGAACCAACTTCTTAAGCTCTTCCATCTAACATTCAAAGAAAACCAAACAACATATCAAAGACAGAGACAGAGCCACCAAAGAATGCTCTCATAAAGAAGAGAAGCAACAAAAAGTGTTAGTGGCAACTGGCAACACTGACAGTGTCCTCAATGGGTACAGTGGTGTCAACACGGTGCTGATAATACAGATCAATGTAGCTCACACCAAGACGCTGGAGGCTACCCTCGCAGCAGGATCGAACATACTCAGGGGAACCGTTCACTATCACATTACCAGATTCCATTTTGACAATCCCAAACTTTGTTGCAATCTGAATTTGATCTCGAGGCAGGTCCCTGAGCGCCTGAGTTAATTAAAATGTTGTGTTACATAACATCGTCGGTTTGTATTTGTTAGTAGTATTAAAGTGAAAGAGATGTGTTAAAGTGTTAAGGTTGTTATTAGTTAACCTTTCCGACCAAAACCTCGTTGGCATGTGATCCATACATATCCGCAGTATCAAAGAAGGTGATCCCTTTGGTGAAAGCGTATTTGATCAAAGAGATGCCAACCTCTTGAGGAACAGGATCGTTGTATACTCCAGTCAGGCCCATACAACCATATCCCAACTTGGAAACCTTGAAACCAAAAGTATCAATCAAAAATGATTCACACAAGACTAACATGCTACCAACTCAGAACCATGATTTGAACGAAAGATAATATTGAATCAATCCCACAAAATAAAAACTAACCTCCAGGCCTTGGCTTCCAAGCTTCACTCGAGGAATATTTGCCATTATTTTTTGTGTTCCTATGCAAATTCTTCTGCAAATTTTCTAGCTATCTCTTCTCTGTTCTTCAAACATGTATCAAGTGACTTGGTCCTATGTGGTTGGTGAATTTAACTTTTATTTTTTATTCCGATGATTATATATTTGACTTCTCAATCACGATAGTGAAGCAAACAAATACTTTTTACAAATATTATAGAAGAACTGCCAATTTTGTATGCTTATGAGGCTGCTACAGAATTAATAATGATATGTACTTGGTTCAATTTTTTTACAAGACTGTTTGCATAATTTATTAAAATAAAGCAAATTAATCATTTTAATTAATAATATTAAATTTGTCTTATATATATATATTATTTATCTAAAACTACTATTAATTTACTAACTATTTATTGAATTAAGATAAATCATTTTAATTAATAATATTAAATTTGTCTTATATATATTATTTATCTAAAACTACTATTAATTTACTAACTATTTATTGAATTAAGATAAATAATTTTAATTATATGTATTTTATATAAATAATAATAATAATAATTAATACAATATGACATTTTATTGGTGAGACTTTTACCCCTTTTTTTTACGAGATTGGGTTAGCTGTTTTATAATACGAAAAACCCAAACTCACTGTAAAAAGGATGAAATTACATATTTAGAGACATTCTTTGGCTCCTATAAGGATTAGAAGCAATAGAGGAGCATTTTGAGAATCAACCTTTATCGTTAAAAATCGATGAGGTGACAACAATTCTTGAAGATTATATATTGCTTTATCTTCATCTCTTGTATTTGTTTTCTTTTCCTTTTTGCTTTAGTTTTTAATTTTCTTTGTGTTAGGTTAATTAGGATGAACCTGGATCTCGCACTTTTGTTTGTGGTATACAATTAATAAATGATTCATTTGCCTTAAACAAATTGCAACAATTTTAATTACATGCCTAATAAAGTGGGTGAAAAAAAGAAGAATAAAGAAACCGTGATATTTGTTTATGTAATTAATAAGACTATATATATATATATTATTTTGAGAGAGTTGGTGATAAGAAATGAGAAAAGAATGAAAAGAATAATATAAAATGATAAAAGTTTATCTTAGAATAAGAAACATTCTTACTAATATAAGGAATTTACATAACCCAATTAAATCACACGTCAACAAAGTCAGACACTAATATATATTAATTAATTTATGGGATACGAAACTTACTCCTCTTAAAAGAAATTTTATGTTGGAATTTGGAACATTAATTACAATAAAATGATTTATACGTAAACCAAAATAATAAAAAAATATATACATAAAACGGCATGCACAAGCACATTAGAGTTTAAACAAGATATTAAAGAAAGAAATACTTGAGTGCACTTCCGCATACATAAAACATGTGAAGTTGTGAACTATGAAGCTAGTTAAGCCCTCACTTCTATATAACATTAATTATTAGTAATAGTCTTTGTTACAATTAAAAATTATTAGTAATAGTCTTTGTTACAATTAAAAACTTGTACCGCAGACAAGAAATTTTAACCAGCCAAATATCCATCAGGCAATGACAAATACCATCAACCAACTTGAGTTCAATTCACAAATTAGGGCATCGTCCAATAAAGGATTTCTATTGCTTTAAGTTGAGAGTCATGGATCTATTAGAGGTGTATTAGCAAAGTTCCAAGAAACTCGAGCTGCTCAATCAGTGTTGAGTAACTAGTATCTTAAATCTTAAATTTTGAGATATGTGCTGATTCAACTTTCTAATATTAATTATAAGTTACTCTTAACTTATATATATTAATATAATCTTATTTTTAGACAATATAAAATTTATAATACATTTTTATTATATTGTGAATTGAATATCTCAAACATAAAATTAGTAATATAAAATATTTGTAAGTAATATAATAATAACTCGATAATAGATAATTTAAATTTTTTATTGATAATCAATAATTAATAATTATTATGAATTTGATATTATTTTAAGAAAGTGAGTTAAGAGACGGATTTTACTTTAAAAAATTAATTTATAATATGAAAATTATTATATATATATATATATATATATATATATATAATCTTATTTTTAAACGATATGTGATATCCAACAAGTTATTCTATTGCTGCATCATCAATGGGAACTGCCTTGGAAATTTCGACTAAGCCACTTTCTTCAAATAGTTTTACTCCTTATAAAGCTGATTGAGGAATCAGATATATAATTAGCTAGCACAAACAAACCACACTTTGCTTCTCATAATCATATGGTTTTGGAATCAAAGAAATAAATTAATACAATAATACATAGACAAAATTCAAAACAGTTAAATTGTTCTTTGACGACAAAAAAAAGTTATATGTTTTATAGGAAATATAAGAATAAAACAAAAATAATATAATTATTTTTTCTTTCCTTTTTCTGTTATTTTTCTTCTTCAACGATGATTAATTTCTATCTTATCTTCCTGCAAATCCTCCAATTACAAGTTATAATAATCTCAATTTAATTTGATTTTAGAAAAAAAATTAGAATAAATTAAAATTAATTGGTATAATTTTATTTAGAATTATTTTTTAACAAATTCAAATCAAATCAACATGATAAAAAAAAAATGAATTAATTACTCATGAAATTACTCAACCTTTTAAAATATTAATTAAAAAATTATGAAAAATATTTTTATTAGTAATCGATTTAGTTTAATTTGAAATGTACTGAATTGTTTGAAATTAATTGATTTAGTTTAATTCAGTTTAGGTCATTAAATTTCTCGTGTTTATCTAATCCAATAAATACCTTAAGTTTGACTTTGGAATTACTATGTTGCATTTTCAATATTGATAACAACTTTTGTCATCTTTACGAGCAGGCATCACAGTAAATTAACTTGGGCTAAAGTCGTTGGGAGATTCTTTCCCCCAAATTTACAATGGTTCTCTTTATTTTCATTCACTACTCACATAATAACCACTAACTATAATTTTTTAATTTATTTTTATTGTTTAAAAAATTTAGAGGCCGTAATTTTTTTTTCCTCTGGTTATAAATAAAGACAATTTAATTAGTGTACGGATTTGACTTGACTCCAAAATATTCAAAACTAAAATATAATTTGAAGATATAAAAGGATTCATACGTAAAAAAGTGGTCATGCACATTACATTAGAGTTTAGACAACGTATATTAAGAAAAAGAAAGACTCGAGTGAACATTAGGAGCAAAGCCCTCACACTTATATAAAACATTATTCGCTGCTTTTTGTTACATCACAAACTTGTACTGCAAACTTCAAACTTGAACCAAACCAAATATCCATTGGCCAATCACCGAGAATTGACTTATGGGTTGTTATTAAACTTAATTTGCATATTCAAGTACTAATATCCATAAATTCTGCATATGACCACAAATGACAATTAACTTGCTCTCAGTTCACCAGTAACTGAGTAAGTGTGATATTCCATTATTGAAAGGATTTGGAGTGCTGCCTTCAAGTTTAGACATTGGGATTTTTTGGAGGTGTATTAGCAATGGTCCAAGAAAAAGTAGCCGATCCATAGTAGTGTCGAGTACCTGCTACGTCATCAATGGGAACTGCCTCAGAAATTTCTTTCAGCTCACTTTCTGCGAATTTCAATGATATTGCACCCACGTTTTGATCTAGGTTCTTAACCTTAGTAGTTCCTGTAACAGTCCAAATTAATTCAGACAAATAATTTATTAGTTATACAACTAATTGGAGTAGTCAGTATATATTAAGATAACAGGAAAATATATTTTTGTGACTGACCAGGAATAGGCACAACATCATTGCCTTGGTGGAGCACCCATCCCAATGCCAACTGGGAAGGAGTACACTGGTGTTTCGTAGCAAGGCTTTCTATTTTGTCATACAATTTTTTGTTCTTGTCCAGGTTCTCAGCTTGAAAGCGTGGATGCGTCATCTGATGAGTGAAATAAATATTTATCACACAACCAGATCGATTGATTAAAGTATTAGGCCATTCATTTTTTGTTAGCTAACAAAATAATATTATACCAGGGAGCTAACTGTTGACACAGTTTCCAGAACTCCTTTTCCACCAAAGAAACCTCGACCAAGAGGGCTATATGGTACGATTCCAATGCCAAGCTCCCTGTATCAATAAAATGTATGACAAAGTAAGTAATGTGCATTTTAATTTTATTTAATGTAGCTCATGATCAAATAGATTGTTAGGGAAGAACCATGTATTCCTATACCTGCAAAGAGGAACTATCTCCTCCTCAATGTCACGAGTCCAAAGAGACCATTCCATTTGCACAGCAGTGATGGGATGAACTGCATGTGCTCTCCTTATTGTGTCTGGACTAGCTTCAGATAACCCAATATACCTCACTTTGCCCTCTTCCACCAGTTTTTTAAGTTCACCCACCTATAATATAACAAACATTAATGATATGTATATCTACTAGTTAAACCAGATTGTTAGTTAAAAAATTGACAGGTGTATAATAATGTCTACTGTGATGAAAATCATGGATGGGTTTTCCTAGAGGAAGATATGCTTAACTGTTTCCTCTATAGGCACAGATAAGTCCACTCTATGCTGATAATAGAGATCAATGTATTCAACACCAAGACGTTTCAAGCTGGCTTCACAACATGAACGCACATAATCTGGTGTGCCCTTAACATTCATTCCAGAAGAATCAATCTTTGTAATGCCAAATTTGGTTGCTAGTTGGATCTTTTCTCTTGGTAGCTGCTTTAAAGCCTGGTCATTAAAATAAAAAAAATAACGCCATGAGTAAGGGATTCCACTAATCAAAAAAATTAACGTACATGTGTAAAGTTTAAGAGAATAAATTTCAAAGAAAATTGGAGTTTAAGGGTGAAAATGCAAAGAAATTGTTTGTATACCTTTCCGACCAAAAGTTCATTAGCATTGTCGACCCCATAAATATCAGAAGTGTCAAAAAATGTGATCCCCTTATTGAATGCATGCTTAATGATAGATATGCCTTCCTCTTCTGGAACAGGATTATTATAGGCTCCAGTGAGGCCCAGACAGCCGAATCCCAATTTTGAAACCTATAAAATAAGATGAGAACATAGAGAACAGAACATATATGTTTGTCAAAATAATAAACTGGAATCATATAAAGGAGAGAAATTAATTGGTGTGAGCGTAAGTCATTAGATAGGATATAGTGATCATATATACCTCAAAACCTTGAGTTCCGAGTTTGACACGAGGAATATGCACACTCTGCGCCATTTGATCAGTTCTTGGTTGCAAATTGCAATGCTCTAGTGCTGTTAATTAGCTTGATGAATTACTACATACTACGTTTGAAACTAAAGATATATATAGAAATAGAGAGAGCCAGTAAGTTTACTATTTGGAGGGGTTAGAATTATGTTTGAGTAAATTAAAGTCTACTTTTTTGTGGTCTTAGAATTATGTTACAGTAAATTCAAGTCTACTTAAATTAATTTCTTTTAGTTAAATATGAATTTATTTACTTTACTCTTGTTCATTTTAGAACAATAAGATTCCTCAAAGAGCATTCAAAATTTAAATGAAACTCATGTTTATAGTAAAATCTTAAAACCACACTCTCTTTTTCGGTAAAATAACAGGAACAGATCTGCGCGTATTATTCGTCACTGATTATGTCACCAATTAGAAGCAATAATTCGATTTTGCTTTTACCTTTTTTTTTCTTCTTTTCGTTCTCTAATTTCATCTGAACAACTCGATTATAATAGCATCTTTCATTGGTGTATTTCTCATTTTAGTACATTGTTTACTTCATTTATTTTAATTCTTATAATGTCACATCATGTTTAAGCGATCTATAAAAAAAATTATGTACATTTTATTTCAATGATACACCTTAATAAATAACTCACTTTCATATTTTTTTAATTTACAATTAAATGGATTCTCCAAAAGTTTATTTTTCTTCCATCTCTCCTTTCTTAATACTACGAAATTATTTTTTATTTATAAAATAAGAAACCATATTAAGCAAATACGACGACTCACAACACTTGTTGTGGCTTTCAAGTCATCATGTCATGTATATGAATTAAATTATTTAAATATAGTATGACAAGTATATGGAATTGTTACAAGTAATAAATAAAATAGAGTAGGCAGTTAAGAATATAAAGATGAGATGAGAAGTAAAGTAATAGATGTGGAATTTCATGGCCACTTGTTTGAAAAAGTGAAACATTCATGGAATTTACCCTATTGGAGTGATTTGATTTTGATATTGAAAACAGACAAGCGCATGAGCGTAGCAGCCATCAAAAAGTACTTTGCCTCTAAGCCCTCACCAGATTGTTGGACGACAAAATATATATTGGATCCGATTCTACACTCAAAGTTGGAGAAATCAGAACGCACAGGCCCAAGCCCAAGCCCAATATAAGCGTTGGATGCCGCTTTTCAAAACAATCTCCACAGCATCGAGTATCTGATTTCTAAATTTTACTAATATTTTAATATGTGTATAAATATTTATTATATATAATTATAATTTATAATAAATTATATATAAATAAATATTATATTTAAATATATTAATTATATTTAAAATTTGAATAAATAGATATTTATAAATATGTAAATTATATATTTTTAAGTAATATATAAATAATATTTTTATTTATGATAAAAATTTATATTGTAGTATAATATTATTTATTTATTGATAATTTATTTTAAAATATTAAATTTTAATTCATAATAATTATGATAATAAAAATATAATTACATAAGAAGTTAAGAAAATCTTAATAAAAAATCTTTTCATCCAAAAAAAACTTTAAAAATTCATGTTCAATATATAGAGATTGATTTACTAAAGTTTATATTCACACATTGATTTTTAATTTTATCAGATGTCTTTGAAAGGACTGTATTATATATTTTTAATTAAATTTATTTTAAATAATATATTTATTTTTCTTTAAAAATATATTAATATATACTAATTTATATCTTTTAAATTTTAGTTTATATACAAATATTAAATATTATTATTAACTTATCAATAATGATAATTTATATTTTATTTAATTATTAATATTAAATATATATTCTTTAGTAAAATATTAATAGTTATAACTTGCTATAATTTAAATTAATAGATGAATTGTAAATTTAGAAAGTAAAATTAAAGAAAAAACTGTTAAAAATCAATACGAATCTAACTTCTATCAAATAAATCATACATAATTAGAATATATAAAAAAATACAATATATTATTATAAATTAATATGTATATATATATATACAATATTCTTAATATTAACAATATTACAAATATATATATATATATATATATATATATAATATTAGCTTATCACTTATAAATACGCCATTAACATCAACTTCAATCAGAACAGAGAAAATAAATATATTAACAATATTACAAATATATATATATATATATATATATATATATAATATTAGTAAATATATATTTAATATTCAATTTTATTTATTTAGTAATGATAATAATAAAATTAAAATTTTAAATTAAAAAAAAACTAAAATACATCAAGGTGTGTAGGCTTCTAAGTTACTCCTTCTAAAAATAAATGAGTGTAAGTTAGTAAGTTCCTATATATATTATGTATATTTGAAATATTTATATTCAAGATGTGAAAACGCGTTTGGTTAGTTGAAATGAGCTTATTTCTTGAATAAAAAGTTAAGGCATCGCGTTCTTACGAATGTGACACTTTTATATAGGTAGATTTTAGAGAGTTGTATATATATGTGAGTCAGAGATTTTCTTCTAGTCAATTCTATTTATTAATTAATTAATTAATTAATTTCACTAAAAACCTGTTGTGCTTTGATCACTCATTAGTCATTAGGTATGCAATAAGAAATGAAATATGAAATAGATATATAATTTTAGAATATTGTTGTAGTGGTAATCTATAGAGAATAATATATATATAATTAATAAGGAGGCATGGTTATTTGTTTCCGTCGTACATATATAGGTAGGTTGAGGAAATAGTAACGAAACAAAGACTAAAATTATTATGTAATTGTGTATATTTAATTAAACAGCCAACATCATCTTCACAAACTCTTGATAATCAACGAGACCGTCGCCATCTAAATCAGCCTCTTTCACCATCTGCTCCACTTCTTCCTCTGTTACCTTCTCTCCAATAGTTCTCATTACTGACCTCAACTGCACCCACATAAACATGCATGCATGCTTCAATATTACACAAATTTAATTATGATTCTCATCAGATCAATTAATTAACAAAATTCAACCTCGCTGGCCGATATGTAACCATCTTGATCTTTGTCAAACACCCTGAAAGCTTCCTTCAATTCCTCTTCTGCTTCACTTTCCTTTTCGCAACAAACACAAAAACAATATATAACTTCATCATAATTACATCAAATTAATTCTTCACACGTGCACCCATCCATTAATTTACATAGCTAAGCATCTTAATCACGCGCGGTCAACACTTGGATCAAAATGAATTAATTAATTGCATCATAAAATAATTGAGTTAATTTGTTTTGATGCACCTTCATTTTTGTGGCCATGAGATTCATGAATTCCCCGAATTCTATGGTTCCATTGCCGTCGGTATCCACTTGGTTCATCATGATTTGCAATTCTTCCAGCGTTGGATTTTCGTCTAGTGACCTGATTGCAGTGCCTAATTCTTCGATGGTTATGCAACCTTTTCTCCAATATCAAGAGACAAATTCAGCAAGCAGGCAATAGAGGTAACAGAAAGAGAAAAATAAAGGAAAAAATAATTTGAAATGTTATGGTTTTAATTACATACCATCTCCATCTTTGTCAAAAAGACAGAAGGCCTCCAAAAACTCACCAATTTGCTCTTCCCTCAAGGTCTCCTTCATGCTCCCTTTTTCTATAATAATAATAAAATAAAAAGATTTTAACTAAGTAACTTTCAGCTCATGGCACGCTACACAGAGACAGGAGGGGGAAAGAGGGAAGACAGCACTCATGTTATATATATTCACTCTTTCAATTATAACGTATTGCAAAATTATAAACCCTACAGTACGCTCTATTATTTGGATGTATAAAATAATATATATAGAAGAAAATGAACAATAATTAAATAATTATTAGTATAAAAAAATTTGAATGAAAACACAATGAAAGAAAAATTGATTATATAAATATAATAATTCAGTTATATATGTAATTGTGCACGTATGCTTAATTAAAATTTTTGGCAAACAAAAAAAATTTGTTTTTTTGTTTTAATTTTTTCAAACCCAAGTACACTCTCTTTCGTACAAACTAATTTGCCTAATTCGATAGTGAAGAAGTACAAATATGTGAACTCTATAGTTGGTCAAAGCGACCATTCTGCATATATGTACAATTGAGTTTGACAAATATATGTATATATTATCACTTTTCATTCAATTAAATAAGAAAAAAGTAACTTGTTTTTAAAACCAAATTAACCTATAAAATTATCTCAGTACTTTCAATTCATTTTTTTCTTCTCTATTTTTTTTTTAATTTTCTTTCTTTTCACTTTTTTTATATAAATAAACATATAAAACAAAAGATAATTTTATAGCGTAAAAAAAGGTATAATGAAAATGAAGTAGAAAAATCTGAGTTGTACCATTTGGAAACACCAGAACTGACAATGAAAGAGGAAAAAAGACCAGTAATTAAGCCCCACAAAAAATTAATCCCATATCCCACGACAAGAAAAGTAGCCACCAAAGAGTTATTTTATTATTATTTTTAATCAAGTTAATGATAGTAATGACTAATTAATTTTTTATGGAGAGTCTAAATACATATAAAGCAATTATTTCTTTTTAAAATATCATCTATTTCAGATTCAAATCCTAAATATTTTATATTTTATGACTCTTTTAATACCATCTTTGTGGAGATATTGTTTCTAGAACCTATGAACGGAAATATAAACATCTTTAATGTATATTACCTCCTCCGATCATAAATATAATATTAAAATATTTAATTTATTAAGATTAAAAAAGTAATTAATAATAATAAATTTATCATATTTTTATATTTTTTTTAAAATTACATTTTAAATACTATTTTTATTTTTTAATTAATTAGAGTTCATGTTTTATATTGCTTATCTTTCTTAATTAATATTTGTCTCTCTCCTTACTAATTAATTTAAAATATATATAATTAATACATAAAAATAATATAAAATAAATATTATAAAGAAATAAGTAAATATTTTAAATTAAACTTTATAAATAAGAACAAAGATAGTACTACTTGTTAAGAATAATATTAGTTACGCAAATTCTTTTAATAAAATTACTTAATTTATCTTTATCAAAAAGTTAAAATATAATTATAAATTCATATAATTACTTAAGTATGATAACAACAAATAAGGGTAGTATTAAAAAATTAATTTTTTAAAATTTATGAAGAAACAAATATTTTAAAAAATAACTAAAACATTTAATATATATATATATATTCTCAATCTACTTTTTCGTACATTCAAACATAGCTTAAACAAATTCGACATTTAACTATTACATGCATGGACTAATATGATGGAAAGTGATGGAGGTAATAACGGTCAAAATATACAATTTCCGAACAGCTTTAGGGTATATCATATATGATGAAATAACAGTGCCGGAAATAGAATGGAAGAAAAAAGGTTGTACGGTTTTTGGTGCGGAAATTTCCTGAAACAGTGGCGGGTTTGGTGGTTGGCACTTCCCATCTCTAACGCCAAGGCAACTTGTTTTTGACTTTGCTTCATTCGCAAATGGACGTCACTTCATCTCGTCAATACACTAGTACCTTCTTCGGAAATATGTCATTCCATATTTTTGTTGCCAAAACTATCTCAGTCAAATTCATAAAAATAAATTAAATAATAAGATTATAAATTAAAAAAAAAATAAACTTTTGTTTATATTATCTATATTTATAATATTAGTATTTTGTTAATTTAAATGAAAATAATATTTAATAAAAATATTTAGCTAAAAAATATATCAAATTTAGCTATGTTAAAAATATTTTAAATTATAGATTGGCGTGATAATAAGATTGTTCAATTTCTTTACATGTTTAGATTTGAGTTTGGGATTCGCATTTTTTAATAAATTTACGACCAAAATATTTCAAATAATACGTAAGGGTGAGTATTAATTCGAGTTGATTCATATTCATCCAATCGGAATGGTTAATCAAATATGCTTAATCGCTGATAGTTAATTTACCATTCATAGGGTAGCATTATTATCGGTTAAAACTTAAAATCTAGTTTTCACAAATATAATCATCTGCACTTCAATAATTCAAGACATCGACTATTATTCATTTTTTATTGAATTATACAAACATATTATAACATATTTTTATTAAAAATTATATAACATACTATATTTTAAATCTTTATGTTGCATCGATTTAACTATTTATATTTATTATTATAATATTACTTTCTTCATCTCAAATAAGAATCTCCTATGAAAAATCTTTCACTAGACTTTTTTAAACAAATTATTTTTATTTAGTTGAAATTCATTAAAAAAAAATATAAATTAATAAAACTTATTATATTCTAATTAATATTTTTTTTTTATTTTGTAATTTTCAATAAATTTTGATCAATGAGAACGAGTACGTTAAGAAGAGTATATTAAAAAATGTGTATTAAAAAATATGTTACTAGTTGTTCAATCGTTATTAATACATTTAATTGTATAAAAAGTACCAATAATGTACTTAATTTAATTATATATTAAAAATAAACCTCAATAATATATATAAAATTGATTGTTTTATTTTTGTTATTGTGGTTATTATATTAACAAGTTTTTGTGATTTTCGATAATTAATGGTAAAAATAACATTTTTTAAATATTTAAAACTAATATTTTCTTCTATACAATTATTTTCCAACTATTTAATAGTTAAAAACTAATATTATTTCTTTTATGTCTTTACTGGTATGTGACATTAGCTTGTCACTTGTTAATCGTTAATATATTCAATAAAAGATCAATCGAGAAAATTCATGTGATATAATTAATGTGATATCTTAATATTTTTTAAATTTTCAAAATAAATGTTATTTATTAACTTAAAAATAAATGTTAGGAACAAAATATTTCAGATTTTAGAGGAATTAATAAAAAATAAAATTATAATTTTTTTATAAAAAAAACATAATATTATTAAATACGTATTATACTTAATAAATACATACAATAAGTAATATTAAATAAAGAAAATATATTTATTATCCTAACACTACAATTTAGAACTAAAACAAATTTTTCTTATATTTATTTTACTGTTATAATTTTATAACTTTAAAATATACTTTACAGACAATAAGAACTAAATATTTTTCATTATTTATGTACTTTAATATTATTTAATTGATTTTAATTTTTTTTGTACCTTTTTTTTATATTTATGTACTAATTTATAAAATGGTAAATATTAATTCACATTTATTTAATTTTTTTTCACATTTTTTATCTTTCTAATCTGTTTATAAAAATAATTTTTATTTTCTATATTTTTATTCAACACCTGAATTTTAAAACGTCTTTTATAAAGTCTCACATAAAAATTAATGCCGCAATTTAAAGTCAGATTAATTTATAAAAAAAATGTTTTATTATTGCAAAAGTCAAAATTGGCAGTTCATTTATTTTTTCCATATCTTTTTATAGAGTGGTTTCCAACCCTATACAGTCCGGTCCACAGGTTGATAGATTAAAGTCCTTTTTTACACCATATTAAGCGGGTTAGTTTACTTTTAAAAAAAAATGGGCCTAAAAAAACTGTCTGTAACAATTATATATATATATAAATTTGCCCCTTTTGTAAGACCATTTTTTAATTGAAATAATATTTTTTTAAAAAATATGTTTATTTAGTTAATAATTATTTTAGACAAGAGATAATAAATATTTAAAATTAATTAGGTAAAAATTTTCTCATTTTAGGAGTGGAGAAGATAAATATACAATAAATATTTTTTCTTTTAAATATTAATTAATTAAGAGAGAGAAAGTTAATTTAAGATATGTTAAGGATAACTTTGAAAAAATAATTTGAATTATTGTCAAATTTAATTTTCTTGACTAAATTAGTTAAATTTCTTAAAGGGTGTGATTTAATTGAAAGGATATTATGATTAAAAACAAAAATTATAATAAATAATATCAAATTAAGACTGATTATCATAATTAATAAGTATAAAACTCAAGCATTGATATAAATGTATAATCAAATAAATTATAGTATTTATTACTCAAAAGGGTAAAGATAAAATTACACTTTTGGTCTTATATTTTTTCAATTTATAATTTTTGTTCTTTTATTTTAAAATAGAGACATATAATTTTTCTATTTTTTAAAATACAATGTTTTGGTCTTATCATCAATTTGATATTCATTAATTGTTAAATTTTGACCTTGTCCAATAATCTGTCAACACTTAAGTGACATGATATTCATTGATGTGATATATATTAGAATAAATATTTTAAAAATAACAAATTTTTTTATTTGTATCTATTTTAACAAATGATTAATTTTTGTTTAATTAATAAATATTTTTTTGCATGATTTTGTTTTTAATTTTGTTTTATCTTCAAATGTCACATTATTAAATGTTATAACACTTAAATATGAATAAATACTAAGATTTAACGATTAATTGATGTTAATTTGTCAAGAGAATTAAAATTTTATATTTTTAAGATTAAAGGGACTATACCTTTATTTTATTTAAAACAAGATGACTAAAATTGTATATTAACAAAAATAAAGAGACAAAAATGTAATTTAGCTTGACTTACAAGTTCAACCATTTTGAACCAAGTTTTAAATGGGTAACTAAAATGAACAAAAAAAATTATAATTTGACTCAACTCAATTTAAATGGGTAATGAGATGACCCTAAGAGTTTGGACTTTTTTTTATAGTTCAATCTTCAT